CGATACTCTTTGTCGTATTTGATTGTAGAGATGCCGTATTTTTCAAAATTCATTCTTGCTTTCAAATCTTTCGTTGAATATTGTGTTTTTCTCTCGAGATGATATGATATTATCGTCATTGTATTTGATTGCGAGAATGACAAATCTTCAAAACTTCTTCTCTTTTCAAATACTTTCACAGGACATTATGTTTATCTTTTAGGATGATATTTTGTTCTATTGATCATGTTTGATTAGAGCAATAATATTTCTAAAACCTTATTATATTATTGAATCAATTGTAGAATATCGTGTCTTCCGAGATGTTATGTTATTTTCAATGCAGCATTCGATCACAAAATAGGAGAACACACTGAATTTGTTTGGCAATTTATTTCCCAACAAGGGACACTAGACAACTCTTGCTAATTAAATTTCAAAGCAGTTTATTGACTGTGGCTAAATTGAGAGAATTGATTTTGTTGCTTATATTCATGATCATTTATATTGAATCTCCAATCTCCATATGTGTTTTGTTTTAATTTATTAGCTTCAGGTGTTATGATGTAATATTTTATGTTTATATGTTCTAAAAGTTAAAATACTATTTGTTTTATTTAACTAAATTCTATCATTGGTGATGAATTTCCTTACTGCTTTTTATTCTTTTTTATAATTTTATTTTTTAAAAAATTAAATAATTAGAATAATTATTTAATATTTTATTATAATATCCTAATCCACAATTTTATAAAAGCTTTGCGTTTTTGTTTTTACCAAAACAGAGAACATGTAAGGAAAAAAAAAAAAGAGAAAAAGAGGGGAGAGGGAAAGAAAAAGTTTGGTTTTGGAGGTCTTAAAGTTGTTTTATCCTATCGATTCAATTGAGAAATTTATTCTTCTCATGGTATGTCACATATTGCTAATCTCAATTTTAAAAAATACTTAATATTTGTTGATTTTTTTATTAAAATTTATTTTAGTTACTGAAAAATAAGTATAATTTTGTATTGGTAAAATTTTCACCTCGTAACTTTTTTTTATATGTTATAGAGATTAAGGTTAGGAGCATTTTAAATATTTTTGAAATTTTTATAATTAGGATTTTAAAATTAATGAGGCTTTTATTGAATAAAAAAGCATCTGGATGCTAAAAAATTATATTAGAGTTCAATTAAAATCTTTAAATAATATTCTACACAATCTTTGGTAATTTGTGTATTTATTAAAAATGTATATTTTTGCTGTGTAAAAATTTATGTTGTTTACCATTTTAGAAAATTATGTAGTTTTGACACATGCTCACTTTAATTAATATAATGTGATGAAAAATGAGCATGTGTGATAAAATTATATATGTTGGAAGAGATAAGGGATTAAAATCTTTTGAGATTTTATCAATGTCAGGGAATATTTTGTTGCTTATAAGTCATGTTCTTTTTTTATTTTAAAATGTCTATGATCAAGGTTATAAGCCATGTTCTTGTCATTATAAATCATGTTCTGATGTCTTGACTTCTCTTTCAAAATATTGATCATTCAAAATACAGCCTAATATTAAATGGCGGCAAGAATTTCTTAATGATTTAATATTTATTTGTCTTTGTAAAGCTTTTGCATCATTGCTTCTGATATTGTGAAAATACTTTTTTCAAGTAAATTCGATTAGGTTAATGAATATTCTCATTTATATTTGATCAAGATGAAACTTTTACACACTAGTGCAATAAATAGTTAAGGGATTTTAAATAAATAACACTTGAAATTATTAAAAATAAATATTCAACACTTAAACTTTTATATTTATTAATACCACCTAAAATAACTTCCTAACATTTGTAATGCCACTCCGTAACATTCTGTCAAAAAATGAAACCCCACCTCTGCGAGCATCGATTCCTAACGTCCCCCTCACCCGCGACCGTGCCACATATGCTGCTTGCATCTTCGATCTCCTCAGCCACGGTGATGTATAACAGTCTGCCCGGGACGACTTGTCGTGAGCCATTTTTGCTTCAATCGAGCACGCTTTTTGTGGTTACAATTTCCTACCCTTTTCTTTCTCCTCACGGTTACAAAATCTCTCTCCCAGCTCCTGTTCATCGGCAACTGTTATGCAGTCAGCCCAGCTTGCGCTTTCAATTGCTTTCGCTGCATTCAGTCTCTGGTGCTCGAAGGAAAGCCACGCTCCGCTGATTTTAATTTGGTTCCATTAGGATGGGGACACAAGGATGTTCTTTGATATAAAGTTAGAGGACAAATTTTTGTGTTTTATTGTCTAAATATTGGTGCTTATGTATGGGCATCTAGGAAGAGTGAAGATATATAATAATAAATAGAATTTCGATCTCATAACTAGCATAACACTGCATGGCAGGAGATTCCACGTAGAAATAGAGAGATTGAGAGTTTAGGGGTTTAGAAAGATGATACAATTGAGCTATGATCCTACTGATGGCTCTGGCGACGTCGTTGATGTGGGTGTTCGACATCAAAGTCAACGCCAACGACGACTGTCGGCATCAAGGAGAGTTTGGAAAGCGACAGAGACAGAAAAGGTAGAAATTCATTGCTCAGTATGAACTATGAAAAAATTGGACTCCCAGACTCGGTAGGTAGTGGATGGTCGCGCCATTTTGAAGCGATGAGGGAAGCAACGGCAGGCCGAGAATTACACAGGTGTTTATGGAACACTGATCGCAGTGCCATCATCAGCTCCAAATTGCCAGAGACATCTCCATGCCCACTGTTGCTATTGTTCTACCGGCCAACCCCATCTCATTGAATCGTATGAGGTCGGGAAGACAGTCTCACGCGAACGAATGAAAGAAGATGCCACATGGGATTTCTAACGGGCTTAAACGTAGTGGTAGATTTGAGCGAAATGTATGTTTTAGGTAGTATAGTAGTAAATATAATAATTTGGGTGTTGAATATGTATTTTCAATAGTTTCAAGTGTTATGTATGTAAAAATCCCAATATTTAATTGATTATTCCTATATTACACTCATTCAAAATAAATCTTATAGTTATAAAAATATCTTGATAAAATTTTGGCCAAATATATGATACTAATTTTGTCTTAATTTGAGTTTCTTAAAGACATGAATTAAATATTTTACATATTTGAGAATATTGATTTAAATCTCAACTAATATTGCTAAAAAAAATAAACTTTATAGGTAAAAATATTTGTGATTGTCCATCATATTTAAAATAAATTCTATCATTGGTCATAAATTTCTCACTAATGTTTACTCTTGTTGATAATTGTAGAGAATTCATTATGGTATGTCCCAAATATCTAACCAAAATTATTGGTGATCTATTGTGAAATTATTGATCATATTGGTTTATTTTAGTCTTTTAGAGAAACCTACTAGTTAGGTAGGTAGAGATTATTGTTCTATTACTTATAGGCTTATTCTATCCATTAGGACAAGGATACTATGACTTCATTTGGACCGGCTTTCTTACTGCTTCATAAAGAAAGCTGTTTTAAGAAGCAATAAGGTCGTCTCAAACGAAACCTGTATCTATCATAAGCATTATCATTGACAATAATTTTTAGTTTTTAATACTTGACAAAATAAAGAGTAATTAAAATTATTTATTGGCATATAATATTTAGTTATTTATAGTAAAAAATCTATCATATTTAGTCATGTAATATATTCTCATTATTAAGAATAATATATTTTATTATATTTCCATTATTATTTTATTCCCTTACCTTTATATAGGCATATTTGTGTTAGCACAAAATCTATCAAATAAAAATATAACTTCTTAGAATTTCTAATACTGTAAGAAATAAGGGTCATTGTAGTGAGAGAAATTTATGTACTAGAGTTGCAAAATTTTCGTTAGCTTGTACCAATAGACAAACATTTTTTTGAGGAGATTCCCCACTAGTTTTAAACTCTCCTATCTATAGTTTCATGTCATGGAATTTCTAGCCCGCTAATTTTGAATTATAATCTCATACTTTTTATTGGAATTTATGCTTATTAAAATTCATATTTTTTTTTAACCCCAAGACAACAACAATAACATCAAGCCTTTGTCCCATTACGTGCGATTGGCTATATGAACCTTTTTTCTCCATTGCTCAAATTCTCGTTTAAATCTAATAAAGAAATATCATTTCTAATACTTTCTAACCAAATCTTTTTGTGTCTACCTCTATTTTTTTAACATAAGTCAAATCTAATACCTCTACTTTTCTAATCGGGTCATCAGAAGGCTATCATTTTATTTGACCAAATCATGTAAGGCGGCTCTCTCAATTTTATCTTTCACTGGAGTTACTCCAACCTTTTTACATATATGCTCATTTCGTATCTTATCTCTAAAGGTAACCCCAAGACATTTTAAATAATATATGACTATAGCTTTTGGTCCTAATTAAGTTAATAGACTAATATGTGAGAAAATTTTGCTAAAATTTTTAAATAAATAGTAAATATTAATATTACTGACATATTTGAAATCCAATGATGTAATTAACTTCAAATGAGAGAAATATTATCTACTCTAGACTCTCATATCTATGTCATAGCAACGAAATCTGTTTCACTATGGCAAACAATTTCGTTCCACAGAGAAAGATTAAACTCCAATATTCAACTAGCATTTTTTGAAACTCCATTTTATATACAATTGCTTTTAAAGCAGCTCTTTAGTATTAATAGTTGCGTGATTAATAAAAATTATTGAAAGAAAACTCTTGCTGGTATGGAATGCTGTAATAAAATAGTTAATTATTGAATGAAACGCAATTATATTAGAAATAATTAAATGAAAGGCTTCAAAAGGATTGCGTGAATGCTCCAGTCCAGTATTATATGAAATCAACATTATACGTTAACAGATTAATGGAAATTAAATAGCTTTCAATTAATCTTTGGCTGTATTACGTTAAATGAGATTTGACGTTGATAATCGGTTATCCGGATTAAATATGCGTCATTAGTAATGGAAAGGCTGTTATGAATAATTAAATGATGAAAGGCTGTAATTGGAAAACATTAACAAACGTCATTATTAATGGAAACTTCCAGTTTGGTGTGCTTTCCTTATTAACATCAAATGAAATAAAAAGCAATATGAAAGAAAGAAAATATTAATATAATTGGCCCTAAATGGCTCATGCTATTTTAATTATTACAATCAATTTGTCATTATAATAACAACTTTAGTAATTTAGGAAGTCCTCTAAACTAAGGAACCGCGAAAGAATAAGATCAAGTCTGACAACATAAATGCTCCCAATCAAATAAATGTCTCAATGGCTTATCCTCCCCTTTTCATCATCATAATCCACAAGGTATATAAAGCAGTAGCAGGCGATGGCCGCCCGTGGATCATGACGTTTCACTTTGGTATAGGTTAGGTTAGGTCAGGCTCTGAGTGTGGCATCGTTGAGCCTAATCTCAATATTATGTTCGGGTTGAAGCGGAGGGAGAGTTGTGGAATGAGAGCAAAATAAGTAGAAGATGAAAGTGATGGCGGTGACAAGGAAGAGAATGGTGATGATAATGGCGGTGGAGTAGCTCATTATAGAGGTCGGGTAGGGAAAGAAAGTACTACTTGCCAATAGGATTTGAATTACATAAGCCAGATTTAACTTGGATTATGCCAAACAGCAAAGACGATAGCTTTAAATCCAACAAAATCTTAACTTTGTTGTTTAGGGCATTTAATAATGCTGCAATAAAATATTTCTTCATCTTTGCTGAAGAACTACCACTCTTCCCTTCTCCCATATAAAGATTTCTCTGCACCAAAGCCATCTTCATATTGCGAAGAAGGCTCGCCACCTCTTCCTCTCGCTCTGTCACATAGACCTTGGGAATGACATGCACAATAAGCCCCTTGAGCCCTTCAACTTGAATGCAAATGGGAACTTGATATGCAATGGCGTGGGAGATACTCAACCTCGTCATCTCAGCTTCTTCGTTTTTCATTAAAAAGTTCATTGGGAGAGGCTCCCTATGAAAATGCTGTAATAAAAGAGTTAATAATTAATGAAAGACAATTATATTAGAGATAATTAAATTAAAGTCTTTAAAAGGATTGCACCATTCATCACCGACAATCGACACGTTGGACAAGTTGGATGTTGCCACAGCCATGTATCTACAAATGGCATTAAATAAATGTTAGCAATTTGGTAAAAGCCTCAATGGCTTATCCTCTCCTTCCTCATCATCATAGTCGACAAGGCTCACTCATGACCGCAACCATGGATCCATACACATGGCATGAAATAAATGTCCACAATCCGGTAAAAGCCTTAATATGCCTTATCCTCCCCTTCCTCCTCATCTTCATAGTCGACAAGGCATATCGAGCATTACATGATTGGAGTTAATGAATACTATAGCTGGTATGGAAATGCTGTAATAAAATAGTTAATAATTAATGAAATGTAATCATATTAGAATAATTAAATGAAAGGCTTCAAAAGGATTGCGTGAATACTCCAGTACAGTAGGCAGTATTAATCCACAGCTTATTTGCGATCTTTCTACAAATTTCGACGAGTCTTTTCTTGAACAAGGTGCTTGAAAAGGAAGCCACTGCGGACAACAGAGTAATTGGGAATGGAATCGGAATAGCATCTTTAAGAAGGCAACATAATAAATATAAGGGACTTATTTTAAATACACCAATGATTGAATTTCCAGTGCAGCAGCTCATAATAGCCTCTTCCCTGAAATGTATTATGCCCTTTCTTGGTGAGGAGAAGTAGCGATCAATATCTATACATTAATAACAAACACAAAGATAGAGGAATAGCATTAATAGTTTAATACTACTTAGAACAGAACTTTAGGGTAATGGCTATGGAGTTTGCTTGGTCAGCAAGATATGCTTAAAGTGCGTTTAGTGACACTAGGATTTGCCTAAGAAATTGCAGCAAATGGTAGAAGAGATCTGATCATTAGAAATGACCTCATCGTCGTCATCGGCTCGTAAGGATTTAGTTGGAATGAGGGATCTCGAAGCCATCATGGAAGTATACTTGCCTCGTGGTCGACGCCATCTAAGTCTCGAGCAAGGGTGCTCCAATCCGCCTTTCGTTCAAGCCTTGACAATTGTTGTTTGAGTCTTGGACGAAGAAGAGGAAGTCGGGCAAGTTGGACATCGATGCCTTCTCAATTTTAAGCGGAATTTCATCAGCTAAAGGCATAGGCATGGCACCATTCATCACCAATGACTCACACATCGGACAAGTTGGAAGTTTTCGCAACCATGGATCCACACAGATGGCATGAAATAAATGTCCACAATCCGGTAAAAGCCTTAATATGCCTTATCCTCCCCTTCCTCCTCATCTTCATAGTTGAAGAGGCATATTGATGCTTACATGGCGTGCGAACCACTTCCTTCCCTCCTTCCACCTCTTAACCCACGTAACTAAGTCTAAATAGGATTTACTTAACTATGTTGTTCCGCAAGCATAGTGTACTCTTCCGGTATCTATTTATACGTGTATGTACCTTAGGTTTGTTCAATGAAATCATTTCGCTTTACTCTGTTCTTGTTCGCGAGTTCCTGAAGGTGTATGTTCGCATGAGCTATCATGGTATCAGAGCATAGATAAGTTTTCCTTTTCTCCTTTCCTCTTCTTTTTTCTTCAGCTCTCTATTCTTTTTCGATTTCCTTTCTTTCCCCGTCCTCATTCAAGATAGTATGGCCGGTTCTTCCACCACATCCCTCGTTACAGACACCTCCGCCAATCTTTTTCCTCCCATAGATATTCCGTCTCAACTCAAGTTCGTCCTTACCAACATCAAGAATATGGTTTCCAATCCTCTAACAGCCGATAATTACCCCTTGTAGAGATCACAAGTTGAGAAAATCTTTGTCGTCAATGGCTTCAAAGGATTTCTTGATGGATCGCATAAACCTCCCAACGATAATGATCCTTCTCTTGACTCCTGGAATCATCTTGATCAAAACCTTTCAACTTCCTTATTATCTATTATCACACCTTCTATACTACCCTACGTTCTCTCCTTGAACCACTGCGTCGACATATGGGCTACTCTATTTCATCGGCTGCAAGCATCCACCCGCTCCAGTATCATCCAGTTAAAGAACGAACTTCATCATCTCTCTAAAGGCAAACAATCTATGTCACAATACTTACTCACCGTCAAATCCAAAATCAACGTGATTTCTGCCACCAGAAGCAGCATTGATCCGGAAGACATAATTCTCTACACGCTGAATGGCTTACCCGCATTATACCAAGCCTTTAAAACAACAATTCGCACAAATATGCAACCCATAAATCTTGATGACCTTTATACACTTCTTTGTAGTGAAGAAGTAAATCTTGCCCAAGAAACCTCCAAAGAACTTCAATTACTACATCTTACCGACAATTCTTTGGCTCTCGCGGCTACCAGCAGTCATGGATGTGGGCAAAACAATGCCACTTGTGCCCGGCCTTATGTTCTTAACAATCGGACAGTTGCAGCCTTCGACCGAAACGAAAAACAACAACATAAAAACATTGTCTACCAAATCTGTACAAAGAAAGACCACTTCGCCTTGAAATGTTGGTATCGCCGCGATCCAACATATCAAGAAAATTCACCAATGCAAGCCTTCTTCAGCTCAACCGAACAACCTCGTAAAAATAATTGGTTCCTAGACAGCAAAGCCTCTCCGCATCTTAGGTCGGGTCCCTCTCAATTCTCCTCTGTCGAACCTTACAAAGGTAATTCCCAAGTTATGTTAGGCAATGGTCACCGCATACCCATAAACCATATGGGCAAAGGGCTCCTACCAACACCCTCAGGTAGTCTCCAACTCAACAATCTCCATCACGTTCCAAATTCATCTTTTAATCTATTATTGGTTCACCAACTAACTTGTGACAACTCTTGCATTGTTTTATTTAATTGACGTGGTTATCAAATCTAGGACTCGAAGACCAAGTAGATTCTCCTTCAGGGTCCATGCATGTCATAACTGCCTCTACCATATCTCTTCCTCTACTCCACCATCAGCGTTAGCTTTATTTTCCATTCAAATCGTTCCAAATCTGTGGCATGGATGTCTTGGTCACCTGGACAGCCGCAAACTACACTCTCTCGCTTGGTTACATTCACCTATATGTTTCAATATTATATCATATTCTTGTAATACTTGTAATCTTGCAAAAAGTCATAGGTTGTCTTTTCCCAAGTCAATTTCTACTTCGTTTGCTCCTTTTGAAATTGTCCATTCTGATGTTTGGGGTTCATCCCCCACTGTGTCACTACAAGGATTTCATTACTATGTCTCATTTATAGATGACCATACTAAATATTGTTGGTTTTATCCACTTTTGCAGAAATTCGAAGTTTTTTTCTAAATTTATGGAATTTTATAATACGATTAAATGTCAATTTAGCAAGCATATTAAAACTCTTCGAACAGATGGAGGTGGAGAGTACATGCCAACCAATTAATGCAAAAAAAAAAAAAAACATCATTACTATTCATGTACTTGCTCAACCAATTAATCATCAGATAACAAATCAGCCGGTTAATCAGCAGATATCAAGTAGTATTCCTACTAATTTGCCAACCGACCCAATACCACAGGTGAATAATCAATGTGCGAGCATAGTTTTCTTCAGTCATATCATCAGATAAAAGGTTTTTCTATTAATTAGTGAAAATACTATAATAAGCTCATTGAACTAAAATCCAAAGCAATGTATAAAATACTGCTGCAAAATGCAGCGCATAAGCATGAGGCGATTTACTATCATAAACCATTCTTTGTCCAAATCCAATTCAATCATAATTAATTAAAATTGTTTATATTCAACTCATAATTTAATTTCAATTTAATATGATGGTATAATCACTCAATCACATTTTTCGTAGGTGTGTTGTAAGTAACCGGAGAAATCCTATCTTCTAAATTTTATATGATCCCCTAAAAATTTTTTCATCCTCGGTTTCAGAGAAGAAGAAATATGATACAAAAAGGAAGGAGATTCGTATACTCTCGGATTTCCAGACACAAATTCAGCAATGCGTAGTATGACTTGAAATTGTTTCTCCTTTTCTTCGCTTATGCTTTTAGTGTATTATGTCTAACCTTAGGAATAAAAAAAAAATTCTAAAACACACAGATAATTATACAAAAGAATTCAACTAAACTAATTTTATCCATAAATTGTTCAATCTGGAGAAATAATACATATGTGAGGTCTTCTAATAATTTCAATTTCACTAAATTGAACCATTAAAATTTCTATCTGATAGAAGCAGAGAAATAAAATTGAAATGGCAAATAAAATTAAAAAAAAATGGTTCGAAAGAGGATTAATCAAATTTGTCAGAACATAAACCTAAAAATTAGCCTAATCATAAAGAGATAGAGGAGCAAGATGAAGAAGAGGCTTTATCTCACCAGAAATAAAGACTTACCCGTCCACAACCCGCAGTGAAGAGGGAACGGCCTAAAGGAGGAAGAGAAAGAGCCACCAAATTAGGTTGAAATTTAGGCAGTTGAACTCTAAGCTATAAAAATAAAACCTCGAAGACATGGGCAGGCTGGAGTTGCAGCTCGCAAAGGAAATTTCCCAGAGATGCAGAGAATCCATAGCTATGAGGCCACCACCAGCTTTTACTGACGTCTTTCCTTAGATTGTAATTTGTAACTGTTTTTATTATTACATCGGGCTAAGCCCCTAATTTCCCCTAAAAAAATTGCAACCAATGTCAATAGCTATGGACCCACCGCCACCAACTAATGATGTGATTTCATTGACTATTTCATTGACTAAAACACGAGAAAGAAGACCCAGAAAACTAGCTCGCATATAAATTTACTGTCATGTGAAAAGTGAGAAAATAAGCTCTCTCTATTTTTTTTTTGGAAAATTAAATTTATTATTATGATGATAAATTGGTTAGTGGGTGGCGGTGGGCCCATAGCCATTGACATAGGTTGTAAATTTTTTTTTTTGGGGGAAACTTAGGGACTTAGCCTGATAAATTAACAAAAACGGTTACAAATTACAATTGTGGAAAAAAATTTCTAAAATCTATGATTAAATAAGAGGCGTACTCATGCTTTGCCCAGGGTGGCCCACTCTATATATATATATATATATATTGGGGGTCCAAGGGGGCAGCCCTCCCGGCGGGGTTCGACCTATCCGGTCAGATCGCGGGGTCAACGGACAGCGCCCCTGTGGGGGTTTTCGGGGGATAGTGCCACCGGAATAAATTTTGATTTACTATTTCTCTTTGTATTTGATTCTTCGTTTCCTAACAATAACACATCTACCCAATGTATTTAATTATATTGGGGAAATTTCCTAAAGATCATATTATTTTAATATTTTTAGTGGGGCCAATTGCCTAAAATAATAAAGACAAGAAATTATCTAAATAAGAGTATAATGAAAAAAAAAAATTTTTTGAGGGGGAGAAATTGCCCTCCTAGTCATAAAAAGGTTCCGCCCCTGAGGCAATTACAAGTAATGAAGATAAAATATAATAATTATATAGACAAAAAATTACTTCATCAAATTTTTATTAAGGCTTAATTTTAAAAATATTCATTTTTTTTGTTTTAAAATATCAAGTTTTTTATTAGAAAAATTTACAAAATTATTAACTTTGCTTTGAGCATCTTTCGGAACCAGGGCAGAGGCAGGGAGGGGGTACGTGTCACTACTGGCCAATTAAAAAAAATTTGAGATGCAGTTAGTGGGGTTAATTTTAAGAGTGAACCACCATAGGCAAAGCTTGGGTCCCTACAGGGGTCTCAATATTGGATGCTAATAAAAAATATGATTCAAATCCGACACAAAAATTTTAGATTTGAATCAACCTTAAACCTTTTTTAACAAAGTTTCTTCTTATTTCCCTATGTAAAGCAGTTCAAAATTTCTTGTTATTTTATTATCATTATTCTTTCTATGGGAGCCATATTTTGATTATTTCATTATTTTTATGCTTTTCCTGCCAGAGTGACAATTTTTTTTCCTTTCCTGGCAGAGGTAATTTTTTTCTATAGAAGGGGCTCAAAATATTTTTTTAAAATTCTTACAACTTTATTCCTTCAGATTTGGAACATCTATTTCTATATATTTTTATGAATCTACCTAAAAAATTTTGAGTATTTTGGGTATTTTGCCCCCTCTTAAAAAATTTTTTTGCCCTCATTTAATCAATCCTAAGCATCTTTGCCTATCCCCCACAAAAAAAAAAATTTTGCCCACCCTGAAAAAAGAAGCTGGATCCGCCCCTGATGATAACGTTGCATTATAACTTTATTTGGATTCCAACATTGATTATTGACTTCCCAATTTGTCTGCATGTATTTCGATTTTTTAGTTGACACTATTGTATGAAATATTTTCCATCTAAAATATCAATGATGATTGACCTGTTTCAAGTTTAAATTTTCAAGTAGTTAAATATTGACTTCTTAATGCCTCACTTTAACAAAAACTGGAGCTTGTAGAGTTTTTCTTTCAATCTTGCCTGAATGTTTGTATTTGATAGATCCTTCCAATTGTTGATTCTTCAACAATTTTTGGTGTTAAAGCAAAATTAGATCCTTAATAGAGAGTTTCAATAAACAAAATTTTGAGACTGAAAATAAGAGTTCTGTGAGAATCTGTCAACCTCCATTCGTTTTAAAGTCACTGTCATAAGTGAACTTAAGTCTAAAGAAATGGTTCTGAAACAAGTTTTGCTATGTTTTACTTGGAAGTTTGATTATATAGTTACTGTGATGAAAGAGTCCAAACTCCAAAGGCTTATGTGCATTTTTATTTGAAGAATTAATAAAATATTTGATACAGCGATGAACAAATTTGCTGCAAAGCATACTTGCATAAATGAATATGTTCTTATCTCTTCCTTTAACTAAACTAGAATTTATATTTTTGTTTTGCATATGGATTTTGGGGATGAAATGCAGGTGACCGCAGTCAAATTTTTTTGGATAAGGTTCTAAAGCTTTTAGCCTAATCTTAGGAGTAAAATGAAGATTGAAGAAGAGGCTTACTAGATAAGACAAGCCGAAGAACGAAAGAAGACGCCAGCTATGATCGTGGATAGTCGATGAGTATCAACTGCGGGTTGTTGGAACGTCGATTGTGGACGCACGCGCAGGAAGAAGATGGAGTTGGCTACCGGGAGGGGAGAGCTGCTCACAGCACAAAGAAGAGGGAGTCTGCAGTTGCTTCACACATGAATGCGGGTGAGCTAAGGCAAAGGAGGGGCACAATATGATATTTAGGGGGAGAGGGATTACATAATTAACCTCAATATAAGATTTTTTTCGCCACCGGCTGCATGTTTTATGCTTGCAAGCTATTTGTTTTGATACACTTGGGTTTTTTTCCTACCTTACCCCATAATTACTAGATGATTCGCCAGCTACCACTTTGCCTTATTTAATTTTATCTATAATATGGAATATTTGTTTTACTTTAGTGCTTGACACATTGGTTATATGCTTGTATCAAGATACCTGCTTGGCTTTCATATTCGGAAGTCATAACCCTGATTAAGAGTTGATAAGATAAAATAAGAAATGTGATGAATGAACTACTCTTATATAATAAGGTAGATGATGATCTTGCAATCCACCTATGAATAATATGTATTGTCATATGATTTAATAAGATTCACCAAAAAGTGAAAAACAAAAAAAGATCCCACAAAAGTGTTTGTATGCATATATAATGATGCATTAAAGTAAATCAGGACATATAAGCATGGTCTCAGGTTAGCTTAACAATTCTTCTAAGAGTGGATAAAGAATAAAAGGAGAGATGTGATGAATGATTAATATTATAAGGAAATAGGAGGGAATTGGGGGAAGGCTGTTTGAGTATTTTTTGTCTAATGTTTGCTTTAAATATGTGATTTTCCTAGGGTTAGGATTATCTGATAATTGGTGACTATTTAGTGTTCTTGGAGTTTGCCATCTTGGGCTCTAGCGGTGTCTAGAGATTGAGAGAGATAGATCTTCCTCTCGAATTGAGGATCAACTGTATCTTAGTATTTTCCTTCCATAATATTTGACTTTTGCAATAAAACTTCTGTTTTATGGTTTTCTATCGAACTTTTGTGGATATTGCTCACTGTTTTTGCCAAGATTGTTAGGTTTTACTTGAGATATTCAAGTATTTTCTATCAGATTCTATGATTTGGATTGCAAGTTCTAATGAATCAGAAAGTGCATATAGCACATATATTGATCCTCGATGGAAAACTACTATTATCTATGTGGTGGCGTTTTGGGTTCTCGATTTTGCTAAATATGTCGTTCAGGTGCGTTTGCTACGATTTTCAGGAAATTGTCTTCTTAATAATCTTTAAATTTGGAATTACAAAACATTTTAAGCATGAAGCATGCAAAATTGCAATCATTATCATCATAAAAAATTAAAATAAAAACTATAATAATTTGATCTCATACATATCAAATTTCTAGTAAAATTCTGAATTTTTTAAAAGTAAAATCTCAATCAGATTTAATATTTGAAAGCAAGAATTTAATAAAGCTGAAAGCAAGAAAGGAGAAGCAGAGAAAATAAAGCTGAAATTAAGAAAGAAAAAGCAGAGAAAATAAAGAATAAGCCAGCAGGGAGACGATAAGGAATATTCACTTTCCCTCGTCTCACCATGGCAAGAAAAGTGCTACTAAGAAAGGAGAACATAAAAGAGTGCACCAAAAAAAAAAAAAAACTTACTTGGAACTTGGGAGACGATAGAGAATAAAGGAAAGAAGAAGCTGCAAGCACCTTTCTTTCCTTAGAGCAATCGATCTTCGACTTCAGACGGCGGCGAGCTAAGCGAATGAAACACACTAATGGGGCAAAACAGCGAATGAAACACACGGGCCACACGGCAGGAGATCGGCTAGGGCAAGTAATATTGGGGGTGGGAGGAAATTACCTTATAGCCCTTCCTTGCTTGCAGTTTTATTAAATTCTTGCTTTCAACTATTAAATCTGATTACGAATGGATTGCTTGAACCATAGCAAAAAAAAAAAAGTATACTGTAATGGAAAAAATAGCATTGCTACAATAGAATAGGTTGTCATATGAGTTTGCCCCCTTTAAGAACTAAGGCTGATTTTGCTCCAAGATGTTTTTAGCCGACCATTTCTTCAAGTAAAATTTAATTTAATTTGCCACTATTGGTAAGTTTAATTGAAGGAAAATGGCAAGTTTAAATGATTCTAGTGATAATCTCTAATTATCAAGATGTGTTAGGCATAATAGAAAAATATGAGTAAAACAGAGAGAGAGAGCAGGGAACAAAAAAAATATCAACAATGAATCTTTCATTTCAAGGAAGAAACAAAAATCTGAAATTTGAGAGAAGAAACAAAAAATTGAATAAAAATCTAAAGCAAAAGAGAAGAAACAATCACACTTGCACTTGGAGGGGATCTCCGAGCTCAGGCGAGCCGTGTTTCTTGGCGAATCCAAGATGTCGCGCGAAGAAAAGGTGTCGTCGTGCATGTGCCGTACGATTCACGAAGATGCACGAACATGGAAGGTGCGGGTTGTTAGGGCAAAAATAAAAGCTTAGAGGGGGTGGATTACTAAAATGCCACACTTATAATTATTATTTTTTAAAAGGGGGGCAATTGTCCCCCCTAACATGAACTTAGTTCCGCTCATGATCTCAGGATTAGCTTAACAATTCTTCTGAGAGTGGATAAGGAATAAAATGAGAGATGTGGTGAATGATTAATCTTATATAAAAAGGTAGATGATAATATTGTAATTCACCTTTGAATATTATGTATTTTATGATTTAAAGAATTGCCACAAAAGTGTTTGTATGCATATATTGTGGTTCATTGAAGTAAACCAGGATATATATTTGACATGCTTTTTACATCGACAATTCTTATTTGATTTTTCCACATATTAAGCATCAAAGCACGCCCAACTGCATTAAGATCTATGATCTATGTTGTCTGATTATCATGTTTCCAGCTAATCAAATACGCCGTTTTATAAGATATGCTTACATATTCCGACGTATAAACCGGCGTAACTGTCGTCGTAACAATACCGACGGCTATTCTGCCGGAAAGTATGCCGTTATAATTCCGACACAAATGACGCCGATAAAAACGCCATAGTTACCGATGTATATATATCCGCCAGAATCTCCAACGGTAATCCCGCGTTTTCCCGTAGTGATATATACTATTTAATTATAATTATTTTTATTTTATTATTTATAGAAATTAAAACATATGAATAGTAGTAAAGTGAATACACGAAAGTCAGTGGTGGAAAACACGAAACCCTTTCCTTAGTATTTATGCCCTAAAGGATCTCTCCAAACGCTAAATCCTTGGCGAACACGAAACCCTTTTCTTAGTATTTCTGCCCTAAACTATCTCCCCAAACGCGAAATCCTTCCTTTTTCTGCCCGAACAACCGACTGGCTGACTCCCAAATGCCACTCAAGCCCCGGTTGGCCGCTCAAGCATCTTTCCTATTTGTTATCCCAGACACACCGTCCTGAAACCCTCTCGTTTCTTCTCTCACTGGCCAACATTGATAGTAACTTCTTAATTTAAAATAATTATATCATTTTATTATAATAAATTTAAAATATTTATATTATGGATATTTATTACTTTTATAATTAAATATTCATATGAGTGGTCATCAAAATGCTAAAAAAGAAAAAAAAATATAAGTCAAAGCAACAGGGTTGATGGATTCTAGAAATAATAAAAAATAATGCCGAAGTTCAAGGTTGAATTAATTTGATTAAACAATAAATCCCAATATTGAGATTAAAGCCTCCATATCTTCCACAGTTACAAATAAAATTTACAAGCTAAAAACAAGTAAATTACTAGATCGAACAACGTCGAAGTCAAAGTTAGATCGCAACAATAACTTATCAAGTTTTGATACCATTTTGAAAACTTGACCAAAAAATGTTCACCAAAATAAATAAATAAAAAATCTCTTCTAAGAGTTTAAACAATCTACATAAAAATCTATGAGGGAGGAAAAGCTTTCAATGTTTAGAAAAAATAAATCATAGAATTCTAGTTGAATAAAAAAAATTTCAATGTTTTGTCATGAATATATTTGTGAGGGAGGAAAAGCTTTGGAGATTTAATCTCAATATTGGGATTTATTGTTTAATCAAATTAATAGAACCTTGAACTTTGGCATTATTTTTTATTATATCTAGAATCCATCAACCATGTTGCTTTGACATATTATTTTTTTTTTAGCATTTTGATGACCAGCCATATGAATATTTAATTATAAAATTAATAAATATATATAATATAAATATTTTTATTTATTATA